CACACAACCTTGTTTTGCAAGCAAATAGGAATGGATTGAAAAATATTTACCTTTTCGGAAGAGGTCCCGGAAGCTCTGAAACCTCCAGTCGATGTTCCTCAAGAGTTTGGTGATGTTGAGCACCTCTCCAGGTGTGAGAGCCACGCGACCGCTGCGATCACCAGGGGAAGGGATCTGGATCGAAGCCCGGGCAGCAGCCGGGCACTCAGCACCGGGCTCGTGGCCATCAAGAAGGCGTTTTCCCAGAGATCCACCTGCGATCTGACTGGATCGGGATCCCACCCCGTTCATGGCGAGGCGCAGCCCCAGCAGCCGAGCTGCCCCGACTCCGGTGGCCGAGCGGTTTCCTCAGGCTACGTTTTCGGGTGCGCATCTCCGAGGTCCCGCGAGCCGTGAGCGCGGCTGCACCTCATCGAGAGGAGGATGAAAAGCTGCAAAAGCACCCAGAGACGCACGACAAAACACTCGGGGGGGGAAAAAATTATGGAAGGTATGGGATGAATTCTCCTGCTCTCAGCGTTTATTCATTTTCTCATTCGGTCGAGTTGCAACCGGTGCTTTCTGAGAAATGACTGAAGCGAGGTTTAATTACCGAGTTTCTTCACACCCTTTCCAGCAAATGGGAACCCAAGTTTCGGAAACTTTTTCTCAGCAAGGCTTGGATATCAAAAACAACCCCTGAATATCCATATGCAATAGCGCTGCATTTCCGTATCGCTCTCTCGTCTTTACCACAGCATTATCTGCAAGTAAAAACACGGGTTTAGGCGAGCTGCAGAGAACATCTTCCACCTCCTTCGTCGTCCTTCCTCAGCTCAAACACAGAAAAAAGCCATCACTTCTCATGATAAATCTCTCCATTTATCCCAAGTATCGGCAGCATCTTGGTATTCGCTGGTGAAACCGGAAAATTGAGCCGGTGCCGGTGTCCCGGTGCAGTTTTGTGCCCCAAATTTCGTCTGGAAGCAGCGCTCGGTGCAGTCTGCGTGGGATGCGTCTGCAACCTGGGGCAGGTGTCAGGCTGTGTGGAATTTCCACATTCCTCCTGGGAGTTGTGAAATTATTCACTTCCCAGGCTGTTTAGGGCACCGGCCCCAGCCTCCTCCCAGCCTTCCTTAACTCTGTGCTGTCTGAAACTCCTGCAGCATCCTTGGGACTCCACAAGAATTGAGATATCAATGTCACAGAACAGTGAGGCCCTTTGGGAGTTGATTTTGGGACACAGGGAGAAGGTAAAGCGAGAGCAACTGTAAAGTAGCGTGTTTGAAAAAGCAAATAAATCAGAAATGGATTCTTTGCACTAAAAGGTGCTTCGATGCTGCCCTACGCTTTCAAATGCTCCTTGTTCCACGTCCTAGCAATATAAATAACGAGCCCCATGCATGAAACAGAGCTCAACATCTTAACAGCGCATCCATCACATCTGCATCCCCTTCTTCCCCATCCTTGGCTTGGCCAATGATAAGAAAAGAGCGACTCCGTCTCACACTTTTGGCTAAAGCACACTCAGCATTAAATCTTCTTTTACAGGGGAAAAAAAAATACCTAGAAAAAAATCAAGAAGAGGAACTGAAGTGTTTGTTTCTCTTCATGGTGACGACGGTGCTGGCACAGCAACACTTCCCCATGCTGGCAGATTCCCATTTTGCCCAGCGTCCGCACGACGGCTGAGGAAAGGGCAATTCTGGTTTCAAACGGAGAAAAATACAATGGTTAAAGAAATAAATGGGTCGAGCTGGTAAAATTAACCGTATAATGTTATTGACTTTTCAGAAATCGAGGTGGGAAGCGTCCTTTTATTGCCACCAGAGCTCCATGGGGAGGAGCAGCAGCGCCTGACAGGTGAAAATGCCGCCCTTTGCCTCCCTCCCCTTGCTGCAGGTTCCTCATTTGTGCTTTCTCCCTTCTTTTTTTCCAGTCCAGCTGGAGGTAAATGGAATATTACTTCATTAGTGACGACCAGACAGCACAGCTTCACTCCTCTGACAGGTTATGCCACCGAGAAGCACTTTTTGGGTTTGATATCTGCCTTTTCATGCCGCGCCGCAGAGCATCCCAAAGTGGGGGACGTTCCCTTTCTCGTCCTGCCTAAAGCAGAAACCCTCCCAACCGTTTATTTGAGTTCTCCTCCTCTACCTGTCAAACTTGCTGGGTGAGGAGAGGGAGGATTAAGTGAAAAAACCGGTTGGACAGCTTTGCTGTCCGTCTCCAACAGGATCCAAAGCTTTGGGAAACCCTCTGCTTGTCCCCGGTGATAAGACAGACAACAGGGTCCAGAAACGAGCGAATTAACAACCCCGTTCCCCTTTTTCCTGCTTTTCACACCCCTTCATTACAGAAACCAGATTTACAGGATTCCCTGTAAACGAGATTTAGGGATCCAGAGTCGGCTTCATCCAACCGTGTCAGGTTTTGAAGGGGGATGTTCGCCAGATGGCAACCGCGATTAACAGATAAAGCGACTCACGGAGACGCAGGTCACCAAATCCAATAGTGGAGCAACCCGCGGGGGAGGTTTTTAGCACAATTCCCATTACAGTTCATCTTCTTCTCGCTTTTTTTGGTAAATTAACGACAAAGCGAGAGAGAAAATCTCACCGTGGGATTTTTTTTTCCCTATTGATAACAAGGAAATGAGGTTGAGAGGAAGAAAAAAGGTTGATGAAAAGGAGACGTAATTCAGACAGAAAATGGGAATATTTTCCGCTAATCCATTTCCTAGGTCTGTGTGCAAGTAGAGCACATTTGCCTTACAACAACCCACTTTTTGGGAAAACTAAATGTGATTTGAGTAGAATTCTAAACCACAGTTGCTGCTCTGGAGACGTCGGGAAGGGACGGAGACCTGAGAGATGTCCCCAACTGAGTCACCCAGCGCAGCCACAACCTCCTGAGCCTCTAAGACGACTCCTCCTCATCCTCCTCCTCCTCATCCCTCCTCTTCTTCGCCCCCCTCTTCTTGTCCAGCTTGTACTTGAGACGACGGATGGGGTCGGTGATGCTTCTCCGGGCGCAGTCGTCAAAATCCTCCGCCAAGCGAAAATTTCGGTCCACCAGCTCGGCGGCCTCCTTCCAGTTTTGGAAACAAGCGGGACCCAAACGCTGGATCTCTTCTACGGCGTTTCCAACGATCACCTCCCCGTTGGGCTTCAGCACCACCACGGCCGGCACCTCGGCCACGGCGAAGCGCAGCTCCAGCTCCCTGCAAGGCGAAACGGGGAAGAAACCTCAAAATGCTTCCTCCTCACCGCTCCTCATCCTCATTATCCCGTGGGATTCCCACTCTGTCCCAGTGCAGAGCCTATTTACTGAACATAACCCGCTCGTTTGTCCATCACTGGTAATTAAAGCCTGACGAGGAGCCGGTAAAAGGGGAAGAAGGGGATTTGGGCGTCAGCTCCCCAGGGAATGGGACGGCTGCTGGGACCTGTTTTTACACGAGCAGCAGTTAAACAGCTTAAATTTTTAATATCCTCCAATTTGCCCTCAAAAAAACAAAAACAAAAACAAGGAGCTGGGAATAATTCCCGGTATTAATTGCAGCTCGTTTTGTCGCTAATGAGGTTACAGTAAAGACGTGAGCGCTTTCAGACCGCCAGGCTGTATCTGGAAACTCTTAGGGTTATAAATAGCGCGGTATAAAATCGGAATACGAATATATTGGCAAAACAAAAAAATAAAGCGAGATGAAAGGAAGAGGAAATCTTTTTTTTGCTTTATAAATAGGTGCAGCCAAGCAGCTTTATCATTTTTTTCCACTGAGGCTTGACCGCTCCAATAGGGACTGAAAATGAGGAGAAAACCATCAGGAAAAGACTTTAAATATCTGAAAATACGTCCGGGGCCGGCGGGAGGAGCCGTTTGCAGCGTGATACCTTTTAAAGTCGTCCCCGAAAGGTACAGCCAGCCACCGTTTGGGCATGGTCTTCAGGAAGGCGCTCTGCTGCTCCTCCGTCTCGTCCTGGGAGACGTAAACCAGGACCAGCTGCGATGCTCGTTCCACGTAAAACTCGTCGGTCAAACGCAGGAAGAAATCCTTGAGGAGCGGCGAGAAACGGCGACACCGCGGGCACTGCTCGGACCCGAAATAAAGCAGCAGCACCTTGTTCTCCAGCGCCAGGCCCAGCTCCCGCTCCGTCTCCACCTCGTACTCCTCCCGGTTGGCCATCAGGACCTTCCCGGTGAACAGGGCGGCCATGGGCGGACGAAGGTTGATGGATCCGGTGGGATGGATCCGGTGGGATCGACTGCGCGGCTCACGGCAGCGGGAAGGGATGCGCACCCCCCGCCGGCTATTAATGAGCGCGGATTCACCTGAGCGTCCGGTAATCGGCTTAACGGGGGAGGTCAGTGCCTGGGGGGGCGGTGCTGGGGCTCGGGGGTGCAGGTCCCTGGCCGGGTGGGGTTGTTTGGGGCCACGAGAACCCGGGT